TCCCCCCATCTGTCCTCCCCTCCCCAGGATTGAATTGCACCTTGGGCAATAGTGCACAAATCGTGAATCTTAACTTCTCTCAGCATATGTTCCTGGCAGATAAGTAAACAATTTGGATGTGGAATGAAAATTGTTCTTTTTTTTTTTTTAATTAATACCACAGTGGCTGTAATGTGGGGGCCGTGCACGCGGCGCGGGCCTGCAAGCATCTGTCCTCCACGCGCGGTGCGGAGGGAGCGGACAGATGTGCATCCACGCGGGGATCTTTGAAACGCGTGAACACCAGTCCTCCTCCACCCGCTCCTGGTTGTAAGCTGTGCTGTCTTAATGAGAGTCAGAGCCGTCAGTCACAAGTTGGTGCGGGTTGAGACACGTGAGCCAGTGTTTGACTCGGGGATAGAAAGGCTTTAGTTGGGTTTTGGCTGCAGCACCTTGTCTTTCTGTTTGTGTTGTTTTAAGTCAACGCACACACGCAGAGATCTTTAGACCGCAGTGTGGTGGTGGGCTGCTCTATACAGCCCGGCCAGCGACACGGAGGAGAAGACAAAAAGAAATCACGTCACTTTGAGTTCGTTCCATTTGTTCAACCTATAATTAAGCAGGAGGATTTCTCCTTGGAGTGATTAAGCAGTCAGACAGGTCGGACGGGCGGATTCCCTCCGGGGAGGCCTCTGCTGAGCTGTCAAACATCAAAAAGATCACAACCGGTTCAGCCCAGTGTCATAATAATAATAATAATGATTATAATAATAACAGCAGAAATATCGGCTCCAGTGCCGAACATGCCTGGAACCTGTTTGAAACAACACAAGGAGAGGTGGCTTCCAGATGAGGAGGCAGGAGTTTGACAGGATCGATTGTCACGTTATTGTTCCAATGACAATGCTATTGATTAGTTTGGGGTCAAGTTGAGTCTGTAGCTCTTTAAAATTAAAATTAAAATCTTTAATAATTTCTTGAAATGTAAAAAGTATTTCAAAGCTACATTCCCCTTTTTAGAAATATTATTTAAATTTAAAGTATTTACTATAAATATTTTCAATAATTGATTTATGTATGCTATTCTGTGTGTTTGTTTTAGTAATTTGTGAGCAGTTTAAAACCAGTAGAACTGGGCCTGTATCTAGTTCTCACAACTATCATCTGTGTCATCTCAAGCACCCAGTAACCTACAAATACAGGAAATTGATCTGGTTGAAGACAGATTGTCTTTATTCGGAACGTCTTTGCTCAGCATTAGAACAAAGAGCAGGAGGTATCACCCTTACATACATTATCCTTTCCATGACATGACAGGTTTTAAATTACCATCTTAGATAGAAAATACACATATAACTCCTGGAATTCAAATAGAAGTTATCCTCAAAAAACAGAAACCAATAAAATGACGCGTGTGACTATATTATAGCACTGAACCACAGGAAAAAGGCAAAATAAAACATTTGGATGTGAATGGATTTTTTTTCTTTCACCTTAAATAGACGGTCTAGTTTTTATGTGCCGGTGTTTTTGATAAATAACCCGTATATAATCCAGCCTATAGGCCCTGATTTTGACGCTATCCAGAACATCATAAAATTACGAGTGCCAAAATGTAGAATACCTTTAGGCCTATACAGGAAATAAGAACGCTAATTGTGCAAGCCAAATTGTTCAAAATAAAAGAGTAGCCCATCAATAATCAACACAAATCAGCCTATCAGTATTGAAATGTACACAATAAATAAAGTTAAAGGCCTCCTTTTCTGGTTGCCATAAATGTTATAACATTTACATTTCTTACAGTTCACGGGCACCGTCCTTTTACACCAAATCCCAGCTTCTCTGCTCAGGTCAGGAACTTCTGGAAAAGTTTTTTTTTCTTTCTTTCTTTTTTTTGTTGCCATAACAAGTCCAAGGCAGTGTGTATTGTTCATGCCTTTTAATGGGGCGCGCTCTCCGTAATATATTTACATGCATTTCAGTATTCAAGTGAATGAAAAAGAGGAGAACAGTCTTGAGGGTTACATGGCAGCGGCATGTGCGGATGAATATGGGTCTATCCCAGTCTTGGTCATACCTGGAAAAAGTATGTAGGCCACCGGGGGCTGTAAACTTGACGCTGACCAGGCTGTGCAGTTACACGGGACGACGTAGCCCGGGTTCGTGGGCGACGGGTGGGTGTGGGTGTGCTGACTGGGGCACCCGAGGGTGCCGAACGCGCCGTTCTGGTATCCCAACGAGGACGCGTACGGCAAAGTGCCGCTCAACGCGTGGGGCATCTCCGTCATCTTCTGGATGGCGCTGGAGCTGAACTGGCTCGGGTCGAGGAAGGAGTAAGGACTGGACGTCGGCGGCAGAAACGCCCGGGCTTTGTCCGAGGAGCCCAGCAGAGAGTCCGCGGCGGACACGGGGAGTCCCTTCAGGTGGTCGGTGTCCCCGAGGTAAGGCAGCGGGAAAACGTACCTGTCCTTCTTGAGCAGGTTCTTGGGTTTGCGCCGGGGTCTGTACTTGTAGTCGGGGTGCTCCTTCATGTGCTGAGCGCGCAGCCTCTTGGCCTCGTCGATGTAAGGTCTCTTCTCGGACTCGGAGAGCAGCTTCCACTCGGCGCCCAGTCTCTTGCTGATCTCCGAATTGTGCATTTTGGGGTTCTCCTGTGCCATTTTCCTCCTCTGGCCCCGGGACCACACCATGAACGCGTTCATGGGTCTCTTGATGTGATCAACAGGCTTTGACATCTTCAGAAAGGACACTGTTTTATCCCCGGTGTTAATGACGAGGGGGAAAGTTCTTATCGCAAGGAAGGAGAAGGAAGGAAGGGAAACTATTCACCTGTCCAGATGCCAGATACCAGTCATGCCACGTCTGGGATGTTCTGAGTCTGGGAAAAGTAAACTCAAATAAAATAAAAAAAGGAATCCGGCCGCGGCTTTGCTTTTTTCTTTCCTGCGTTAAAACACTGGTGCGTCTTGGTTTTAAGTCCACTTACAAGTCAGAGCTGCGCCGCGCCGCGTACAGGACAACAACACATACATGCAGGATGCGCGCACGTAACAAAATCCACAAAGGTGAAAGCGATGTTCCGCAGTCAGTTTGCAGGAGTCGTAAAAGTGTTCAGTGTTATTTTTCCCGTCACACACTCTCTCTCTCTCTCTCCTTCTCTCTCTCTCCCTCTCTCTCTCTCTCTGAGGTTGGTCGTCGAGCACCTGGCTTGTTGGAAATGAGCGGAAGAGCGTGAATACGAGCCAAAAGCGGTGAAGTTCAAAGGCTGGGCTGGTTTGGTTTCTGCACGCAATCTGACATAATCTGCAGGGCGTTCACTCACCAACCTGAGCGCCAATCAGCAGGGAGAGCGCCGATTATAATAGCTCCTGCAAAAAAAGACATTATATATGTATGTGGGCTGCATGACAACATAAACAAAGAGCGGGTGGTAGTAGAAGAAGAATAAAAAGAAAACATAAAGGAAGTCAGAGAGTGTTTGTGTGTGTGTGTGTGTGTGTGTGTGTGTGTGTGTTAGCCTAATACACAGAATCCCTGCTCGATTCAATTGAGTTTAATGTAATTAATCTCAACAAACATGGACCTTTGCAGTAAACAAAACCTGACTTTAATGCAGGGAGGTGTCTACTTCCTGTAAAACAATCACCCTATAAAGAAACACACATGTAGAGTAATTTGTGTGCATTTATGTATTTATTTGTAACATTAAAAATGAAATGGCTAATAATAATAAAATATTACTTATATAAAATATTCATATCTTACAGGAACTATTTTAATATGTATTCTCTTACATGGCAGTTCCTCTGCATCGGGTGGGGTTGGAGTGTCTTGCTCAAGGACACTTCAGCAGGGGGGGGGGGGTCATCTATGAGGGTCCAAAATTTAATTGAAGCTAAATTTGACATTTTCTTTATCTAAAGAATTCACGGTCACTGCAAAAACTGTCCGCTCTCTCTTTTGTGGTATAAGAGAAAGGCCCATGCCAAACGATTACGCACGGGCATATACGCGCAAACACACGCAGCCATGGGCGCGCACACACAGTTTACGGCCCGTGCTGTGGATGTTGCACCAAAGGAGAAGTCGGTGACAGAATTACAAAGAGCAAGGAAACATTACACGCACTGTACAGGTGCAGGGGAGCATCACTGTGAGTCTGTAATTGTTGCATTAGCTCACATCAATGTGGCAGTGTTTTTTTAAGGAGGCACAGAGTGATCGTTTTAAAATGCAAATTTAACTGAGGACCACTGCCTAATAGCCCCCGGGCTAATGTGGCTGATATATGATTCCTTCAGCTGTGATTATAAAAACCAAAGCGCAGACAGATGATTGTGTGTGTGTGTGTTATCACACAGTCAAAATAGCTGTGATTAGAGAGACAGAGTTGTGTGTGGTTAGTGACACTGCTAAATAGATGTATTTAAGGTGGCCTATATGGGTGTATGCATGCGCGTACACAAGCACGTGCACCCACAAGCGGAAGTCGTGGACCACATTCTATTACAATTATCATTTCATCTTTCTGTGTGTGTGTGTGTCATAACATGCAACTTCAAAGTTTGTTTGACATGTCACCACATCACAGAAACATGTTTGCAGTCAATGTATAATACGTTTGGATGACAAATATATACAATAAATACAAATGTTGTATATGAAAAAACTAGACATTTTAATCACACATATTTTCAGCAGTAACATAAAGATATTACCTCACACATAAAGGTGTCAAACATGATCTCCTGTTTTGTTTTTGCAGCCACACTGGGACAAAGCAGTCCTACATGTGACTTGATTTTCCAGCCTGTGATATTCAATATTTCTGCACATATCTGCGTCTCTTTCTCACGCTCTCTCTCCGCTCCCCGGCTCTTCGCACACGCATGCGTCAATCGGCAGCTCGTAACGAGAAGATTTCCATCACACCTTTCTTGAAATTATCGTTGCAAAAAAAAAAAATAAAAATAAAATCGGGAGAAAAATCCTCCTCAGCCGGACAGAACAATGCAACCCCACAGATTTTTTTTCTACAAGCGCTGATGGGATGCCTGCAAAAAGAAAGGAATCTCCTCACATCCCCAGTCAGTCGGCAGACTCTGATGTTCATCTGCAGCCGTGAGGTAGTATATGCACTCGCATGCTTTGCACTGTATTTTTGTGGTTATAAATTGTGTTGCGCTATCTTACACACAGCAGAGCAGCGTGTGCAATTTGACATGTGGCGTTTAAGGCTGCTAACGTACCCGCAGCAGCTTATAGTCTTCATTCTGAGATCAATGAATTAGATAGCAGCAAATTATTTTAGGGGCTGAGCCTCCCACTCACCAGGGAGAAGTCAGCTATGTTTCTTATTCAAAAACTGATTGTCTCATAAACGCGCGCCCCAAAGTTCCCTCGACAATTCAACGGGATAATGAGAAATGCAATAGGTTTTGATTTGTCAAGGAGTCAGATGATTATTATTATTTTTTCCATCGCCAGGTTTTTTCTCAAATATTATAATATCATAATCGTTGGTGCATTTGGAACAGTGTATTTTCTGAGGTAAAACCCTTAAATACAGTTAATGGTCTAAATCATATATTTGCTTTTACACCTGAGACAGAGTCACATGTGAGAAGTATCCATCTACAAACTTTTGGCATTTGGATATGTAAATACAATTAACCTTTTAAGGTAAGAAAAAAATAACTATATAACAATAAGAAAATGTAAATATACCAATAGAGAGAAAGGAAAATAAGAATATATATTTCTCTCTGCAGGAAGTGGGGGTCTAGATTACATTTGACTTATTCGGTTTTTCATAGAAAAACACTGTGAGTGGAACACATCGTCCCAGCCGTTAATATCAGTAATTATGAAACGAGCGACTGGTGAAAGATTATTTTAACTCACTGAAACTTTGAATTAATAAACGTGATAAACAACTGAATCAAATCACACACAAACAGAGACGAGGTGACCGCGCACGCACACGCGCGCGCGCGCACACACACACACACACACACACAGACACACACACACATAAAACTGGGATTATCTTGGGACACATGTCCATCCATCTCGCGTTCCAAAGTGAATGGGGAGCGGCCCGACACACACAGAGCCTATTAACCAACTTGGGCTCCCGTGGAGAGCACGAGGTCTAAGCTCCCCCACCGTAACTGTCCATGGTGCTGAAGCGGTAAGAGGGTTTCACCACTGCACACATGCGTCCTCCCTCAAAAACTCTTAAAAGCCACAGTTGACATTTCAATGCCTCTTTTTGTATTTCCATCCTTTTTAGTGACGCTCCCGTGTAAGAAAAGAGGAATATTAGAAACGGAGACAACTCATGTGGGGAACAACTTTCCTAACTTTTTTTTTCAAGCAGAAGAATGTTGTATAAGCCTGTTTTACCAACTGAGTGGAATAACCACAACATTTGTACCATATTTGGACTCAATATATTATGACACCGTTACTTATCATAAAGACATTTTAATGCTGTCAAAACAGCCCTGTCCTGACTGCACCTTACTTAGGCAACACTAGAGTCAATATAGTAGATCAGCTGGAAAAAGTCAGACCAAACACAGTGAGATCTTGAAAGGAGTGTTCTTTACTGAGCCCATTCACAACACTGCAGTTTTTGTTGAAATTTGTAAAAACTCTGAGCAATACTTTCACTTTCACTTCAACCTGCAACAACATAGCATGTTCAAAATGTGCATGAACAAACTAAAGCACAAACGCATGATGTCCATTTCATCACACATTTGTATTTGTGATCTATACACAGTCTACATCCAGCAACGTGAAATACAATGTAATTCACTCAGTCATGATCCAAATCCTCACATGCTGCTGATTCCCCTTCAAGAACATGTTAAATTAGAAAATTGATCCATTTAGCAGTTACAGTATATCACATGTATAATGGGAAATATTCTTTTTTATATTATTTTCCCATATGAATACATGGTTAAGGTAAATACTATACTTTAGACTGATATTACCATGTTGTTCTGGAAAATGGCTTAATACGAATGCTTGGATTGTTGAGAATGATAGTTGTGATATTAAATAAAAAATGTTTTATTTTACAAATATAGATAATAATTCCAAAATCATATTCAGCTTAATAATGCTGGTGATATTTTTACATCATCCACTTACAACTTCCATCAATGACATTGAGAAGAAATATATACAATGAGCAGTGTGTGAGATGTAATGCCAACATGGGGCATATATTACAGAAAATATAAATACATATCATATCTATGGGGTGACATTATTTCTCAGTAAGATAGTGAAAATGGACTTGATTGGAATATAAAATGACTAAACTTAAGCTCTTCTCTCTTTTATGCTGCAACACTGGATAGTACAGGGCAGAGCAGGAAAAAAAATTAACAAAGGTTCAAGGCACCAGGTAATAATGAAAGGATAGGGGCAATACTTCAAAGACCACGAGGTCCACATCACACAATTATACAATACAATTAGGATTAAAGGGGCAAAACAGAGATAACAGGAGATAGGGATAAATTATCACAAAAGGAAAGATGTGACTCTCTCCTGACCTTCATTAGGAGGGAAAAAAAACTCATTTAGAGCTGGCCTTCCTTGCAGGGGGATTTCAGCCTTTCACATGAGACTGTGACTCACAAGATAAGATTTATAAATGAGTATAAACGAGAATATTAACTTTTACTAAACAATAACATAGAATATATATTCAGGGTAATAAATAATAAATTATACAATACATAGTGATACATGTAAATTATATAAAATATACATTGTAATATTTTTTATTTCAATAGAACTGGACTGATTTCAAACACAATTTCATGCCTATAATTATGCATGGAAATTGTTTTTTACTGTTAGCATACTGCACATTATATTATATTATATTATATTATATTATATTATATTATATTAGACATAATGTAGTTATACTTTTGGGGAAAACAAACACTTGACTATACTGGGAACTTATTGTTTCTGATATATTCTCAACAACAAAGTAAGTTGACACCTGAGGTTTTTGACTGGTCCTAAGTCAATCATGTAGATATCACCATTTTTATTCAAACAACAACTTTTGTTATGACGAGGCCTAAACAGCATCTAATCAATGATTTGACTACAGCTCTGTGGAATCACTGCTTAACCAAAGAAGCATTTAATCGTGTTATGTCCTCCCACTCAGTCCATCTGAACACTATCTGTCGAGGTGGAGGAGCTCCACCATCATGCTTTCCTCCCTTCCTTGTCATCATAAATCTACTAATGACTGGACAAAACTATGAAAGCAGGGGGCCCAGAAGAACAGAAGCACAAGCTGAGAGAGCTCTTTGGTGAAGACAGAGTTGAGCCGATTGGTCTGTCCTCTTCTTTCATCTTACATTGTTACAAAGACTCCTAGGACTAACATGCTTCCCCACTAGTTGAAGGAGCAAAGCACTGAGCAAAGCACATGTCCCAAGGCACCAGATTGTGGAACTGAGTCAATAATTAAGAGATTCTCATCCAGATCTCACGTCCTCCAAAACTCACAGATCATCCTATTGTCCATTCCATACTTTGCTTCACGAGCAATTGTAGTGATGGCATTCCATGGAGACAAATGTCCAAACATTAATTTCCAATGCCCAATGACCAAAATGGTGACTAGTCTCCAATGACTTTCTCAATGAAAGATAACGTCCATCTCCTCCAGCGCTGCTCACTTCATTCTCGTATCTTCCTTTCCTAACAACAAGGTCTTGTCCAGAATGTTGGGTGCAGTGCAGGCCCCCAGTTCATGTCTCTCCACACGCTTAGTGTATTCTGTTAAATCTCGGCTCCTCCACTAATGTAACCTCACACTTCTTTGCCCTTGTGGCTGCTGAGAACACGTCAGTGAGGACCTTAAGGGCACCCTTCACTTCCTGATGCTTGAGAATCCGCCACCTGGAGAGGTCATCTTGAGGATGCGAATACTCCTAAATCTTTTCTTAAGAGTTGCTCTGTGAGTCCTCTCTGTGTTCCCTTGGGCACCAAGCACCTCTTCCCAGAGCAGCAGAAAGAAGTAAACATGGGATCATCACTGCTTTCATCAGTCAGAGTTGGAAAAAGGTGCTGTGACACCAGAGACCCCAAGGAATCCCGCTGTCATCAGCAGGATGGCATTATACAGAAGTTACAGATCTGCACCAAAGATCTGCAAGGTCCCCCAGTGTTTGACCTTTCAAGCTCCTGCTGTCGCCCAGCTGAACTCTCTGGGTCCCAACTGATTTTGCCAACTCAAGCCAGTCTCCACCAGGTGCCTGACTGCCACAATAACAGTTTCTGAGAGGACTGGTTGAGGAAATCTCCTTGTTTTCACCTAATTGATGCGGATCCCATTTTTTAAATTCACTGGAGTCTTTTGCAACTCTACCGACCCTGAAATTGCTTGCAAGACACAGACATCGTTATAGGTTCATGTCATGACCATACCTACAAACGCTCTTTCTTCCACCACTCTATAAAAGATTTATAGGTATATACAGTATATATAATGGGGATGTGATTGTAAGGATATATAAGAACTACATGAGCTGTCTGTGGAGCGAATGATTATTAATATCCAGCCCAGTCCAAAATCTAGTCCTACTTGAGCTCCGGCACAGATATACTTGGGGGGCAAAATAAGGGTTAATTTAATCTAATGCTTATTGTATTCATATATTTTATTTTTTACTTGTATATTGAAAACTCGATATTTTCAAGGGAATTTAACTTTCTTAATGCCACACAAAGCTTGAGGAAATAATCATTACAAAACACCCTCGTGGCTGAGAGAAGATGATGATGTACACGAATCACCTCTGACAAGTGTTCCCAAAGCACAACTGATGTTATTCATAGTTGGATACTACATTTTGTATGTGGGGGAAGACTTCTAATTTAATAACAGCTGTTTTACAACTTTTAAAATAAAATATTCATGATAACACCAATGACACATTTACACTCACTCATTACCTCTCATTATGGCCCGAAGCCATATCTCATCAGTGGACGTAAGTTGTCTGTTGGAGTGCGTGCCCAGCATTAACACTGAGGCTCCATCAGCCCTTTTTAATTATTGGAAAAATAGTTTTTAATAAATACGGCACAGCACATTGTGAAGCGTAATGTTTAGATTAATTGGATTTGGTGGTTATATGAGAGCGTATATGCCCAGAGGTGAAACAAATGTGGCATTTATGGAGAAAACATATTGTGTTGGTCAGCTGTGAAACTATAAAGATGTGCGTACTAAAAGTCAGATAAGAGCAGGATCAAAGTATAACTGTAATTCAAATACAACTAGACACAAATATCTTATATTTTAGCACATTGAACTTCTTTCTATTTACCAAATATCTCTTTTTTTATTTCTTGCCATAGAACTACCCGTGTGTCCACTGAGTCTGGGGCCTGAAGTTCAAGTTGCTGTGCAAAGCTCCCATGAGTCAGGTGATGAATTCAAAACTGAGACTGAAAATCAATATTCCACAGTGCTTCTCCTGAATGTCTCAGAATTACACACATCAATCAACCTCCCCTCTTGTACCTTTTCTCTCTGTTTTGTTTGCAGACTTTTGCATCCTGAAATATGATGCAGACAAAACCTCAGGTGGACAAACAGCTGCTCGTGACACCCGAGCTGGGCTGTGGGTACCGTGAGATCAAAAACAGCGCAACAACGCAAAACTACCATAATGAAAAAGAGACAGTTAGAGAATGTGAAAGCGTTTGAACCCAGGCCGACTGACGGAGAGAGAAAAAAAATAAAATTCTACAAATCTGTATCAGTGAATGATTAATTAATTTCTGTTGAATGATCTGTTCTAGCCTTGTGAGATATCAGTTTCCATTTCTTTTTGCACTTTTACAGAAGATCTCAAGAGACGGCTAGTTCAAAAGACGGTTCAATTTAGAGTTCCCACTGGAAATGGTTTCAGAAAGTCTCCGCTATACGTTGGGCTTTGATGTGTCTTAAATGTCGTAATCTTACTGTTCGGAGATGGGGAATAAATTCTGTTAATTCTTTCTATTGTAAGTGATCTCTTTTTTTTCTTGATTTAAGGTACTTCACAAAAATATGAAAAGGTTTTCAAAGAAGTATCCATGTCAAACTTTTATAGACGACGACTTTTATTCAGTAGAGTCACTAGTTTCCATATTCTATTGAGCATAGACTGCACGATGAGTATGAAGTACAGATTAGTTTGTATAAGTGAACGTACCATATTTAATCATCATAATTCAGTCATTTGACAGAAAAGGTCTTCTCATGTGTGTCCTGCCTGGCCGTTATGTTCTAATTTAATAAAACACTGACCTTTTTCATGAAGGACAAAGATTTTGATTTGATCGCAGTTCGACCTCCATCGTGTTATAGCTGGAAAGTGACTCAGTGTCAGAGAGTAAAAGACCTTTTGATGCGGCAGAACATTTATTAATCAAAAGGAAAGATTGACTTCCTGTCATATGTGTTTATTGCACTTTTGTACATGTTGAACAGCAGTTGTCTTTGACCCTTACATTCCTTTCTCGTAAGTGTCACATTTAGACATGTGCATTCACAGGTAGATTTTTGATAGCTGTTTATTCAGAGGCAAACAAAACTTGAAAAGCCGATATAACCTCGACTCAGAACTCTGGAGGGGTGGACTAAGATTGAAATTGGTCTGACTCTCTCTCTCTCTCTCTCTCTCTCGCTCTCTCTTTCGAATTGAGAGTCCATTGTAGTACGTCAAACAAAAGGTTTTTATCAGAGGTTCTTAATGTAACCCCCTCCCCTCACTCTCTCGGCCACCAACTCGTTCTTCTCTTCCTCTCTTTTCTCATTCATTTATTCCACTGTGTGTGGAAATAGGCTGGGCAACAATTAATTTCATAGTGAATTCAGGCAGGATCTATTACCCCTCTCTGCCTCTATTGCTCTAATGGAAATCTATTTCACTTCTCTTTTGTGTCCAATATAATTTAATGCCCATTTTATTAATGGCCTGAAATAATTACGGAAGGCTTTTGTGATCCTTGAGTATGTTTCATTTAATTGTGTAATAAATGTCTAATCAGAGCTCCCATCTGAAGCCATTATGGCATTAAAATTAACAATTACGCCACAAATGTCTTGGTGAATGCGTTGGGGTCTATAGAAATCATTGCTGATAACAAGACACATATAAATCATTCATGAGAATTTTTTCAGAGAAAAGCAAAAAGAGAGATAGGAGGATGGGAGGGAGAAAAAAAGAAGTGGGGGAAGAAAAGAAGAGAAGAAAGAGGCTGAGTTTTCTTTATTCCATTGAAAAACCGGGGATGGCCAAAAGATAGGGCATTTTAAAACTGTGTCACCCTCTCCAGTTCCTTTCTTCCTCTGTCTCTCTCTATCTCGCTTTAATTTGCCTTCCTCTTTATTTTTGAAGTGACAGATTTCACTTTGGGAATTCATTAACCGTTAACTTGGGCGATAAAATATCTATCAGGCCCTCTGCCCGGTTGCTTTGCTAAGCTGCGTGGCGCTCCGGTTCGACGTTGTGGGTGACCGAAGGCAATTAAAGAGGCTTCACACTCGCTCACTTCTGCCAATGTCACTTTCTCTGTGAAAACAGGAAGGCTGCTCAACGTACCAGCAAGAATTGTTTTCTTAGTAGCCAAGTATACAAATTTCATGGTATGGGGAAACTCCATCTGCCACAAACCCTCGTCAGTTCCTCTGTGTCATTTCCAAGCTAATATACCACAATTGGTTTTGGTGAATCTATTTTAGTAGCATAAGGTATTGGCCTTCTTTGTTCTCTATTACCATGATGCACAAAGGGCCTCCTTCGGGCAACGGATCGCACCATGGTCCAAACCTGACTCTTTCATGGACATGACTTTGATGTGGGTGACTTCTTTTATTAATGAGAAGGATGATTTCAGTCAAGCGCCCTCTTGGAATCAGGCTATCTCGGATAAATTGGTTGCTATCACCCATCTCTGACTCTGCCCCCATCCAGCAGAGGGAGATTATCCCGACTGCAGTTTCAATAATTCACTAACTTGTTAGTCGCCCCAGAATAAAATGAATATTATTGGGTGAATTAATTCGATATTTTAGTTCTGAACACCCAGTTTGTTTGGATAGAAATAAATGATTGTGTTATTTAAAGCATAAAGACATTTTAAATTAGTATAGGCCCACACTAGATTTTTGAAACAGGGAAGAGGGAGTCGTCCCATGAACAAAAAGTCGTGGGTTCAATCTCCGGCTCCTCAATTCCACATGCTTAAGTGTCCCTGTGCAGGACAGAGCCCCAAATTCCCTCTGACGGCTGTTTGTGAGCGCTGTGTGATATGCACATACAGTAGATGCCTTGTATGAATACGTGTGTGAATGGGTGAAATCTATACTGTAAAGCACTTTGAGTGGTTATCAAGACTAGAAAAAGTTTATATAAACACAGACCAGTCACCATACTGCCGACCCTGCCATGTTTCTGTAGGTGTTTGGGGCTGTATGGAGACTGTGGAGAAAACCTGCAGAAACTACTCAGGGCTGAAACATGTACCTCAGAGCCACTCTGCATTAAAACCCCAACATTAAAACTATAAGCTGATAAAGTCATGTTGAGATGGATGGATGTGTCAATCCAACTAAATATGATTTTCAAATTAATTCATAATGCATTGAAAATGTATTTTAGTTTCACATGTTAACAGTATTGAGTCTCTCCACCTTTAAAACCAAACCTACACTCTTGGTCATACTTTAGAGAATGTATACATGTTTGTATAAGCATGGTAAACACAGAACTTTCCAGGGTAAATGAGTTCAGTGGACCCCTCGTCATGTTCATAAACGTCTTATATTCACTTACTGTCACGTTAGCATATCTTTGATCATTCTAAGTGATCCTTTGGCATCTAAAAGAAAATTCAAAATCCATTCCATGTGCTAATGCCAGCACACATACATGAATAGATCCAATGTATTAGCTTCAGTTATGCAGTGAATTTCATTTTTCAAATGTTATTTAAAGCATGCTATTAGGCAAGTTAAGTTAATATCATACCAAAGGCACAATTCAATTATTACTGTAGAAAAACATTTCCAATGCATCGTTTTATAAAGGGATGAATGCATATTTTTTGCGAGCCGCCGAATACACCAACAAGAGAGTGATTTAAAGAACATTATTTAACCTTGGCAAAAATAAAAGCTGAGCTATTCAGTAGAATTAACATCTCAATTGAGTTTCGAGTTTGTGCTGTGGCTTTTAATGCTGAATGGACATGAGTGAAAACCAGGGCCTGCTGCTAATGACAGTACGAACAAATTCAATATTTTTTCATACATGTGATATTTAGTTTACTTTTGGTAATACAATTACTTTATGAAATTCAAGCTTGGGGCTGCAATGATCCAAGTTTGGAGGCTCCATTCTTCAATGACCAGAATTTTACTTTATCTTTTACATTAAGATGTCTTGTCACTTGGGAATATGGTTGAAATAGTTTTTGTAGCCTTAAGATTAAGATAAATTCCATAAGACGACAATATCTACTGATTTTCTTATATACTTAAATATCATATCATAGTCTATTCCATTCAAAGCTAGAGGAGCCTTGAAGAGCACTCTGCCAAGGCTGATTGGACACTTTATCAACATATCTAAATGTATTGCGATCAGATACATAAACCACAGAACTGTTCTGCAAACTACTAACAATTGTTCTTAGATATAAGCACTCCTCATACACGTATGCCTCAAGATCTCTGCATTATTTGTTGAGAAATTCCAACAAAATTGTGTGCATAAGTGAAATACAAATCCAAGATTCACCTGGAACTTCTCCAGAATTTCATGAGTTCGTCCTCTTCCCATAGTGCATCTTTTAAACTAAGTTTTAAAACAACTGGTACGGTAGTTTTTGTGTAATCCTGATCACAGACAAACATCAAAGAAAACCTAACTCCTTTTGACCAGTGGGGACAGCAAAATAAAGAACCACAATAAAAGAACGACTACTTTTGCATCTGTTTACAGAACAAAGATTTATAATTGGAATTGTTACCAAAGAACACTGCTGACAGTGTTGTCCAACAATAAAACACACACTGGCTTTTATTTTCCACATCATGTCAATAATTAGCACGTATTCTTTCTCCTTAATCATGAGTATGCAATTTGACTCACATGAGAAAGATGGACTCCATCTGCATTTATGAAAACAACTACAGAAAGAGACATTTAAAGAATTAGAAGATTAGAAGAAGATATTGACCAACAATTGGAACCAAAATTAATCATGTTAATAAATAGTAGAACTTTAAAAAGGACCATGTTTTGACTATGTTGTTACTGCACCTGGTTTCCCTGGCCAGAGGTTTTTCTCTCACAAACTTTCAGCCCATTCCCTCCATTGTTGTTTCAAAATAAAAAATTCAATGTTAAAATATAAGCTGTTGGGAAAAAAAATGTTTTTACAAAATGAAGACGGCCCATTGAATTACAGAGAGGAGAGGAGGAGAGGAAGAGAGGAAGAGCAGCATACACCCACAGGCACTGGGAGAGAAATGCCAAGCTGAACACAAATCACTTCACCATCTCGGCTATTTACTACACTTCACCTTATTAGGGTTTCTTTTGTCCAAACAGATCTTCTACTATTTAATTATGCATTTAACTGATGTGCAAATTAACCCTGGCATTTTCACAAAGACACTTGTGATCACACCTCGCACCTTTTTTTCTCCCAGCTCCTTCCAACCAATTTAATCCCAAGCTCCAGATTTCATGGTCAATTTTATCTCACTCGC